TGTAGTACAACAAGGAGGAGCCCATTGATGTGTGAAGTGATTTTGGTTACACTACATTGCATGACAGTGAAGCTATTGAATATTGTTGTAGTAGGTATTTTCCGCATTGCACGTTGTAGACGGTCCCTGCGCACTCCTCTCGCAGCCGGCCGCTCATTGAGACCAATGCCGATTGTCCAGCTCGGAGGAGTCCGTAAGACGGCCAGTTTTAATTAAATTAAGGTTGTAGCTTGTTGTCTACCTCACTACGGTTACAGGGAGGTATCGTTTGTATTTTAGCAACGTTTCGTTAATGATTTATTGAACCGGGAATTCCGAATCTGTCAATATCTTTCTAACTTTGCCTAACCCCTTCAACACACCTGTCCTGTCGATCCTGTTTGGCCATGCAATTCAACACCCGCGCTACGCGGAAGCATTTTCATTTGGGAATTTGAAGAATAGAGCAGAATTATTAGCCTATGACTCGGATATCTGACTGGTGGCTGTAACGGAGGCTCGGTATTCTCGTTTACAAAACTTCTGAAGCCTGTCATGTGCCCCTACACCAGAGGATGGACCGCAATTCAACTATCCGGGGTTCCTTTTATCACTAGAATGACGTCCCTGTCCGTCAGTGCGTGTAAACAGCGGGCCCGCCTTCGCCAAAAATAGATTGAAGGGTGACCCTCCATTCGGTTCCTCTCCGCCGTGTTTACTCAGTACTCTACATCCCGTTCAGTCCCGCTCTTCCTCGTGTCCGTCCATTGTTGTGGCAACAGTCCACAAGAACAAAAGAAAGGTCAAAGGGCACAGTGACAATGGAAACGAGTAGAAATGGGAATAACAAGAATTTATGAAAGTTGTATATATATATTTTTATATTCGTTTTTAGCTTTTTGCTGGGAGGTTATTCCAGTGTAAATGAAATGCACTTTCTGATAATTACTTACTGGTAATATTAAAATTGCTGGTAAAATGAGATTTACATTGTGTAATGGTGTAAACCTATTTATATTTTCAAATCTATTCTAATGAGAGCCAGTGCAGGCCTTTTTGTTGTGTCCAGCCACGGCTTTCTGAACGGGTTCAAGTCAGGAACAGGCTTTACCACGGAATTAGCAGCACAGGAAATGAAAGAGGCATGATTCATTTCCTTAAAGTCTCAGCCAAAACAAATATTTTTCATATTTCTTATCAGTTATCACATCAGTATTGTCAAATACTTATAATGGACTAGAGCTGTGGGTAATATTAGAGGATTACTATCCATAGTATCGGATCTAGGGATGCACATATACAATATCAGATATCGGGCTGATACTGACTCAAATAGCTGGGTTGGGTGTCTGTGATAATGGGGCAGATCTATTCAATTCAATTCTATGATTTTTATACAATATACATTATTTACTGTGGTTTTATTTCCTGTTAAAGTTTTGACCAATTTGATGCCGCAGCTAAAGGTTTACACCTGAATTGTGATTCCTATTCATTTTGAAGATATTTTACCAATTGGCTAGATCCCAATTTATTTTTATAAGAATGACTAACCATTCATTCCTTTCACAGCGCTGGTTGTATTATTCAGTCACACAATACAGCAGACGGACATCTGCACTCTGCTGAGTTACATTTTGTTTTACAAAATTAGGAAAGCAATGTTTAAGTCAAGGCTGATGTTGCCTTACATTAAATTCCACACATTGAGGCATACAGCTTATTAATTAAACACTCATATCAGATTGGTGCTCCGTATCGGCCGATACCCAAAGTGCACGTATATATATATTCATCCTGAAAAGTTTGGATCGGTGCATCCCTAATCTGATACATACTATGTAATGTAATGCATGTGAAGACATGCGTTACATTACATAGTATGTTACATGCATAAGGCTCTGAAGCAGTACAGAGAGCTGCTTGTTTGTGCCAAATTAGGTCCAGGTCCATTCTAACCTGTTGCTGTATCTGGGTCTTCTGAAGCATTCATTAACTGAATTATTTACTGTTGTGCTGACTGTCTTACACACCAGCATAATCCACTGTGTGTGTGTGTGTGTGTGTGTGTGTGTGTGTGTGTGTGTGTGTGTGTGTGTGTGTGTGCGTGCGTGCGTGCGTGCGGGTGGACTTGTGCGCATGGGTATATGACAGGAAAATGCGACGTCATTCAAAGAAGAATATTTTGACAGTGGTGCTTCTCGTTGGAGTATTGTACTTTCTTAACTTCCTAATTGCTGTGAGTACCCCCCCCCCCC